GGAACCGGTCTGCATGTGGGATCCGAACCCTCAGGCGGGAGCGCCGCCACGCTTCCCAAGCGGCGCACTATCCAGTGCGCCACCGGGCCGGCCCCTACTTTTTAAAGACTACTTTTCATTTTCATGAAGATATATGTGCACATAGTTTGAAGAATCAAAGTGCTCTGCAAGTCATATTCAGAAAAAGAAACATTAACCTGTTGGCTTCCATCACTTGCCATTTTCCACTTCTTAGAAGCAAGCAATTTCAACCCTTCCAGTGACTTGCAGTCTGTCTCCCTGTCTCTGAGACGCTTACGCTGCTGCTTCTGTGTTTCCACGTTAGGCATCTATCTATGCATTCCCACTAACAAAAGATGAGCAATTCTTTTCCAGACTCTTCCCTTCTATGGCTGTCCCTGCACATTTCCCATCTTCTTAGACTTCCAATTAATGTGTATCACATTTTATATAAAAATTCAGTGCTGTAATTCTTATGACCATGTAAATGATAATCATAGCTGAGGCTACACAGTACATTGCTTTTCTTATTTGTCTGTGCACAAATAAGGATAAAGCTTGATAAATTTTCACAGAGTGAGCATACTATGCAATCGTCACCCAGATCCAGAAACAGTACAGAGAAGCAGAAGCTCCCAACACCTTTCATGATCCTAAGTAACCCCATCCTCAAGAACACTCTGACCTTTATTGCTATGAATTACTTTTGGCTGTTCTTGAAATTTATATAAACAAAATCATGTTCTTTATTCTTTTTTTTTTTTTTTGCATTCTTTTTTGTCTGGTTTCTTTTGCTTCTTTTTCCAACTTTTTTTTTTTTTTTTGCAGCTGGCCAGTAGAGGGATCCAAACCCCTGACCTTGGTATTACATCACCACACTCTATAACTAACTGAGCTAACCAACCAGCCCTCTTTTTCTAGCTTAAGAGCTTAGATCATCATTGATCTTCAGTCTTTCTTAATGTATGTACTTAAAGCCATAATTTTTTTTTTCCGGCTGGCTGGTTCAGGGATCTGAACCCATGACCTTGGTATTACAAGGCTGTGCTCTGACAAACTGACCTAAATGGCCAGCCCAAAGCCATAAATCTTTTAAGAAAAGTGTTACCTGCACCCCACAAATTTTTGCAGGTTGCATATGATCATTCATTTCAAAATTTCAGAAAATTTTATATTTTTGTATTTTTAAAACTGTTTTTCCATTGCATTGTGTTCAATACGTTCTTTATACTAATCCTTAGAAATTTTGTTGAGACATTTTAAATATCCTAGACAATAGCTGTATTTGAAATCATCACCTGACTAGCTTGTGATAACATTTTCCAAGATTCATCAAATTTCTGTACAGGCTGAGCAGATATGATAGGAACCTCTACCCTGAATCTTTCAGTATTTTTGATGATGACCTCTGCAATTTCCCCAGAGACTTATTAGCACTGCTGTGGTTTACTGTCCTGGCTTCTACTTGGCCTTTCTTTCGATCAAGGAACCAAAGTGGGAATTCTGACAACTGTCAAGTATGTCTATTACAAACATACACTAAGTAAAGAGAAAATAAGCACAGGATGGGTCCACGTACTGAGCTGCCTGTGACATAAGCTGAGGCTCAACCTCTATTTATGACCCGACCTAAAAGGAAGCCGGCTGTCAAGGGTCACAATGACATCACAAAGAGTATGGATGGTGAATTTGGAGCTGACAGACAAGTAAATGACAGCAGTCAGAGAAAGGTCTCACAGCACACCAATTCTCAGTGTCTAATCCGTAGCTGACCTGTCCATTGAGTTTTTAATTTCAATGATTTTTTTCATCACTATAAATTCTATTTTGGACAATTCTCAAATCTACCCGATTTTTATCATTTTTGACACTTTTCTTTGCAGTCATTTCAAATTCTATATTTTGTATATCTGATAATCCCCATATCTGCCATCTTTGTATAGTTTATTCTACAATTTGTTTCTGCTCTTGTTTATCATGCCATCTCTTCTGGCAGGGTAGGTTTGTTTCTTAGCTCAATCTCTGAATCTCCTCTATCAGCCTCACATCTATTTCCCACGTAGGAGGGGAAGAGGAAAAGGCTAGCACATTCCGGGAAAGCAAAACTGTCATCATAAATTCCAAGCAGACTTTCTCGTACATCTCCCTGATCAGAATCACATTATAGGGTCAGCCCTAACTGCAAGCTTGTTAGCGTCCATAGTTGAGGAAGTTGAGAGTTCTGGGAATGAGTGTTGAAAGTACAGGCACATGACAGAGGCAAATGAGTTCCAAGTTACTATTTTATGGGGTTGGTGGCACAAAATACGAAGGTTATAGAACCTTGTTTTGGAGCAGGAGTAACGCAAGGGAATCCAGGCCTACTTATACTCTTCTGGCTTTTATAACTCCAAAATATAATGGGAACCCTCCCTCTCAGAAAGTGGACTTTTGAGGGTACGGATTCCCTGGGAATGGTCTCCAAATAAACCTCACTCACAGCAGGCACAAAAAAAGGGGTCTTGAAGGCAAGGCCTTTGGTTGCGGAACTACCGCTGCATGCCAGTTCTCCCTACAGCTGCCACCTATGACTTGCTCTTCAGGCCCTTTAACACATCTTAAAGTAACAGTCAGCCAACGAATTAGAAACTTACATAGACGTGGTAAGACACTCAAGGTGACACAGGGAAGAAAAAATATCACTTAATCAAGATTTATTTCGAGGCATAAAAACATTTGGACTGATCAAAATGGTACTACTGTAATTTCTTATAATACGTAAATACCTAACATAAAACTTTTTAAACTGTAGACACAATTAGTAAACCCCTAAACAGCACACTGACTTTCAAAAGTGATGGCTATTTAACAAAATGTGAGGTGACAATAAAATATCAAAGAACTTTCACACACTTAACGAGAACATAATTAGCAGCAAGCTACTCAGACAAAACAAACAGAAATGTTTTTACACTTTCCATACTTGTTTTTAACTTTGCTTCATGAAGCCACTGATAACTGACGCTTCCTTCAAGTACAGGATTTCTAATTAAAAATTATACTTTCTGGGCCGGCCCGTGGCTCACTCGGGAGAGTGCGGTACTGGTAGCACCAAGGCCACAGGTTCGGATCCCATATAGGGATGGCCGGTTAGCTCACTGGCTGAGCGTGGTGTTGACAACACCAATCCAAGGGTTGAGATCCCCTTACCGGTCATCTTTTAAAAAAAAAAAAAATTATACTTTCTAAATATTTTTATAAAGAAATGAAAAAGCCACAAACTGCGCTGTTTGCCACAAATTCATACACCAAAAAGTAAAATACAATACAACAGAATTTATATGTGCTTTCCTCTTTGCCAAGAGTAGATTTGTATGTCTTTCTACATACTTTATATTTTATTAAAGTCATTTCTCCAATTCACTTATGCAGATTAGAAAAAGACTTATTTACAACAAGTTATCTTTAAAGTTCCCTTCTACCCACCCCAACCACCAAATCTGTTGCAAAAGTGAACAATTATTCAATCTACTGTTTGAGGGAACCCAAAGCAATCTGTAATCTTAATTTCCTAAATATTCAAAGACTTAAGCCTTCTGCCAATATAAACAGAGACTCAAGTGGCCAAAAATCATAGTTACTAGGAGAAATGCATAGTATGAAGACTATTTAACTAAAACTTTATTTATACCTTTCCCACAAGCTACAAGCACTCTTTAGCATTAAATTACACTGTGTAACACAACTACAACGGTTTAGATTTGCTCTGGAACATATAATTACATTAAAAATAAATAACTTTCTAACTATTCCATAGTTTAACTGCTCTTACATAGTTTCCCTAGGGAGAAAACAAGCATTTTGTGTTCTTTAACAAACTGATACACATAAATGAACAGCTATGTATTTATTTACGTCTTTATTTATCTTGAGGGAACCTAAAGTGGTCTGTTTTGTTTTTTCCTAAAAATGCTATAGTACGTGCACTTAATCACTGTTCATATAGTGAAGGGATGAAATGGTATAGACAAGTGCAATCTCGTTTAAGTGTATAGTTGTAGGATATTCTAAAAGGAATAATCTGACACTGGTAAATTGTTTAAAGGAAAAAAAAACAAAAAACAAAAGTTAAGAAAATTGCTGAGCTGGCCCATTAGCTCATGGTGTTATAACACTAAGGTCAAGGGTTCAGATCCCCGTACACGCCAGCCACCACAAAAAAAAAAAAAAAAAAAAAAAAATTGTTGAAGAACAATATCTACTTCTAAAAAAAAGGCATCAACCAACACAAAAACGCTTATTTTACTGTCTTAAAAAATAAGACAAAATAAGATAGGAGGAGGGAGTCTAGACCACTTAGAATTGAGGCAACTCTATACAAAAATGAAGACAGTACAATGATGTGACCTCATAAATAACAAAATTTCTTTGATATGACATAAAGTCTTCGTGTCTATAATATATCAATGCACAAAATATCAAAAATATAAAGTCTAGATTTCCCCCTTTAGATTTATACACTAACGATCAAATTTGTTTGATGCATTTAGTTTTATAAGCCTTCTCTGTTTAGCAGCAGCTGCTGTACAACTACATACATGTTGCTATTTTACCATGAGAATTATAGTTCTCATCTCAAACTAGTGACTTGGCTTTTTACCCAAACTTATACACTTTTCATTTCCACTATAAGACACTTATACCTTTTGAGTAGCACATTTTAATCAATGTATTACATAAAAAAGAATTTTGATTTTTAAATGAATCTTTTTAGTATGATGGCATGATGGATTTAACTGAAGCATAATAAATATGGTACTACATTGTACTGTTTAAACTAATCACAGCTGTAAGAAAATGTTTGATTTTTAAAATATAACTAAGATGAGATGGCAAAGTTATGAACAGTGAAATATGAGAAAACAGTGAATGAATAAATAAGATGATTTTTCATCAGTGGCCATTCATTATTTTGCTTTTAGGAACCTGGAAGAAATTATCTTCTTTGAGTTTCAAATGTTCTGGTAAGTCTAGTCGTTTCTTAGCTTCCTCAATATCACCTTGAATTGCTGAAATAAGTGACTCTGCAAAGAGAACATACCAGGTAGATGATGAAAAACTGCTAACACACTTTTTATTACTCCTTTATTCAGCCTCTCCTAAAAACTCACAGCTGACACTATCTCTGGCACAGAATAGATGCCCAATAAATGTTTGTTCCATCCCTTCTGCCGGGCTTAAGTAAAAGTCAATGAGTGGTACATAAAAGATGTATCTAATCTTTTTTGCAATTTCTTAGAGAAAGGCATAGGCAAAAACACATGTATAAGAACTTACCTAAAGAATCAAAGTTCTTTTCTGGTCTGAGGTAGCCAACAATAGCCACATTGAGGATTTCCCCATAGAAATCCTCCTTGAAGGTATGTATGATATGAGTTTCCTACAGTCAATAAATGTTAAAAAGATTAGCATCAGATTACAGAGTACTTGAAATTTTAAATGTATCTTCATGCTTCTGGTAGGTTAATCTAAATGAAATATTCAACCCTCATTAAATTTTTAAAGACTTATGTTAAAATTTAAGTGCTGTTTCTCAATTCTTTTATCGCTCCTGTTTTGTCTTAACCTTACATGTAAACATAACTGAGATAGTAGATACATTATACCACAAATCTGGTATGATTTGCTATTTATTAAAAAAACTGACATGTATCAGAAGAAGAGTCTTATCAAGGTGAAAAAACTGAGCAAAGACACCAAAGAAGAATGGGCAAGGTCTTAAAAGAGCCATGGGTCTGTGACTATGAACCAATAAATTTGATTTGTATTCTTTCTTTTCAGTGAACATTAGAATACTAAGATATGTAAGACTTTGACACTAACAATTACAATACATTATTGAGATAATGGTAAAGAGGTCTACTCTCCCTAAACTGATCTTCAGATTCAGTGCTATCCCAATCAAAATCTTAGCAGGTTGATTTATTTTTTTATTTTTTTTTAGGCAGGCCAGTACAGGGGTCAGACCCAAGACCTTGGTGTTATGAGCACCAGTCTAACCAACAGAGCTAACTGGCCAGCCCTTAGCAGTTTATTTTTTAAGGACAGAAACTGATAAGTGATTCTGAAATTTACGTGGAAAGGCCAAAATTATCCAAGGAAATCTTGAAAACAAAATGAGAACTTAAGGACTTATACAAACAAATATCAATGCTATGGAAATCAATGCTATTATAATGCTATGGAAATGGCCCAAGGACAGACAAGCAAACCAAGTGTGTATGAGTATATTTTTGGACTCTCACACACATAAGGCCACTTCATTTATGATCAAGGTGATAAAGCAGTGCTGTGGGGAAAGGACAGTACTTACAATAAATGGTCAATTCCATATCCACATGGAAAAAAATTAATAAATTGCAAAAAGCACTAACCAATCATAAAAGAAAAACAATGAACTGGATTATATTAAAATTAAGAACCTCTGTTTTTCAAAGACACCACTGTTTAAAAAAAAGCAACACCATGGAAGGTACTTGTGATAAAAGGGTTCCAACAAGGGTATTGGATCTAGAATATACTAAAGAACTTCTTTAAGTCAATAAGACAATTTTTTTAAAGGGCAAAAGACCTGAACAGGCACTTCATAGATGTCTATTATTGGCAAAGAAAAGCAAAAAGAAATCTATACAACGTATGAACATCTCCCCAGTGGAAAACAGAGTTTCTCCTAACAGAGAATTTCTTTTTTTTTTTTTTTTAAAAGATGATCAGTAAGGGGATCTTAACCCTTAACTTGGTGTTGTCAGCACCACGCTCAGCCAGTGAGTGAACCGGCCATCCCTATATGGGATCCGAACCCGTGGCCTTGGTGTTATCAGCACCGCACTCTACCGAGTGAGCCACGGGCCGGCCCCTAACAGAGAATTTCTAAAGCATTCCTTAACTAATATTTCTGTTATCTGAGTAGCTAATAATTAGTCATGGGATATCCTCCCCTCCCCTTTTCCTTCTTCATTGTTCAGTATATTTTGTGATCTTTCACCATGTCTTTCCCTTATCGCCTCCAACAAATAATTTTCACATCCTTCATACTCAAAAATAAGTGAAATATTGAGTGAAATGTTAAGTAGTTATGGGTCACTGCTATTGCTTACACCAGCACTTAGCGCTGTGGTTTACCAACTGTGACACACTTCTATTAACTCTTCAAAGAGAATAAAATTTACATCTACTGTAAATGTTTTTGCCACACACAGGAGCTGACAAAAGATTTAGCCAAATCTAACAGATAAAACACTTAAGGTATGTAGGTCCTGTCAACAAAGTAGGGCAGAAGGAAAGTATATTTTCAAGGTGGTTTAAAAAAGAGAGGGAAAACAAAGCATCAATGTGTGATTATATGAGAAAGCACCACCCATGGAGTAAGCAGTTCTATTTTATCAGGGTGACCAAGTAATCAAATGGTGTACATTAACTATGAAGTACGTTAACCGTGGCAAGCTCAATTTTATGAAACATGCTTTTAAATACTTCACTTTTATCTCCAGTAAAGGTAAAGTGAACCTCTTGTATACAGCAATTACACAAGTTAGTATAATTTGCTTGTAACTTTACTTTTAAAATCATGTAGAGGGCCGGCCTGTGGCTCACTCGGGAGAGTGCGGTGCTGATAACACCAAGGCCCCAGG